ATTTTAAAAAGAGTGGTACATTAATTTCCTTCTGTAGTCTGACGTTAATTGTAAACATCCCTTCTGGCAGGGACAAGTCCAAAAAAAACATGAATATATTTGTTTAAATCATCAGCGTGAAAATTATTTCGAACACATCGCCTCTTTCTACATAAAAGCAGTGCATTCTGACAGACTGCATGTCTCTCTCTCTCTCTCTTTCTCTCTAAGAGAATTCCGGCATCACTTCAAAAAATGTGTGCATGTAATTAGTAACATGAAAAAATTACCATAATTCTAACAGTCGCTAAAGAAAAGATGATCAGGCCACGCCCCAGTTTAAATAATTATATGCCAACATACATGTAGTATAGCACTCGCCGATACAACTCGTGCGACCTCATCTACAGCCCCTCTGAGTTCCCATGTACGTGCATGGTAAGGGAATCAATTGAACATCTAGGTATGTGCTACTGACTCATGAAGTAAGTATGCCACAAGAACCGGGAGAAGCCAGGAAGTCATATAAATGGAACAGTCATATAATAGCGCACTCGTCGACACTAAAGCTCCCCTACATTCACAGTGTGCCCCACCAACAAAAGCATTATTGTCCATTCACAGGTCGAGTGACTCTCTCCCATGCTCACGGCTGCTAAACTCTGCCCACAGGTGCACGTACAACATAACAATAGTGGGGAGGCAATCCCATGCTCACAACTTCCCAGCTTGCACCAGCTATTAAGTAGACTTCAGACAATGTTAAATAGATAATCTTTATTCAAATTGTTTCTTGAAAAATACATTCAGGCATACTGCTCTCAGACATCAGGCAATATTGAAAAGTAATACAGAATAAATATATATATTAATAATCTTTATTTAAAAGTACATAGATAAACTACTCATACAAGTACATTCATTGACAATAAACCTTAACTTTGAATAATCTTTATTCAAAGACATACATCTCTCTTGTAATGACAACATACATTTTACACTCAACGACCAATGCATCAATATTAATTAATCTTTATTTAAAAAAGACATATATTGTTGCATTCATTTACCATCGTGTTGTCGGTGAGCGCAGAGCAGTTAACCCAACTGTTGAACTTAGGTCTAAAACCAAGCCATTTCACGAAAAGGCATTTTCCAGACTTTTGAATGACTTTTCGGCTCAGATACGTGTCGGGGAACCAGGGTCGGTTGTACCTCCTGGTCATAGAACACACCTCTGAGCACTGTACCATTCATATCTTCTAAGTAGTATGCACAAGGCTCATAGTGACGAAACTTTACCAACCTGCATATCTACTTACTCCAATTAGAGGTGTACGCTTTAACAAATGCACCTTTGTTTCTTGATATGCACACATAGTTGCCAACATTTGCCTTTGGTCGATGTGGATCCACTGTCTTCTTGCTCTTGTACACTGAGTCCTGAAAATAATTGTCTTTAACATTCACATAAGCATGTGAATCGTTCGATGAACTCTGTGATTGTATGCAGCCACCAGTCGGGGAAAAAGGTCCAACCACTTGTAACATCCATGAGCTGGAATTCCCATCACATGTTATTCTTGAGCATACAATTAAAACTTTCTGCATTTGAAGATTTCAGTTCGCTGTAGGTACTATAATGATTGATTATATTCGCAGCCATTACTGCACGAAAGTGTGTATTGTAGACCTCCTTACCAAGGCCTGTCTGCATATTCATAGGTGTCTCTTATCTAGTAAAACAATTTCCTTTGCATTGCTTACATCAAGGCCACATTTACAACAAACAGGTACGCCCCATGCATATTTGCTGAAAGAATCTATGATGGTTAATAGATATCTGAATCTGATATTAACTTTGGCATATGGGACCATTTCCACTAAACCTGCTTAATAGATATCTCTCAGCCCAAAAACAATTACTTTGTGCCTGGATAAATGTGTTGTGTGACTTGGTGAATCTCACTAGAGATCTGTGCATGAGACTTTTTTTAGTCTATGTATCCTCCTTCACAAATCTCTTCCATTATGTTCACAATCTCGTTTCTGTGTGAATTATTTTCATCCTGCTGAGAAGCGACTAGGAGGCGAACATGTGATACAAGCTTATTAGCATCGTTCCAGAGGATGTATTCAAGTCGGGTGCTCCCATCCAGCTTCGAAGTCAGACCAGAGCCACTCGCCACATCAACATTCGGGAACAGATCGGTGATAACGGTGAATTTAGGTTGTGTTTCATCCTTATTAATATAAGCAGAGGAATCACTGTCCATAAAGTGAGCACTCGTGAGATGATATAGGCATTTACATATGCGAAATTCCTTGCGAGAGTACTCGTAAGGCGTTTATTTAAACAATAGCTTAAAGAGGCCTGGAGAGGTGCTCACTGCTTCGTCACCAACCTTTATAAAGTCATTGGGCAGGAAAATATTTGTTCGTTTCCCAAAAACCATTTCCTATTACACCTATAAACTCCATATGTAGGATGATTAAATTTTGAGATGTACGACTGTAGGTAATTGCGAACAGTTGTGGAATGAAAATTAGATCTATCCTTTTGTCATTTCCATTCTGCTATGGGTAAATCATCTTCATCGATGGCCTTTGGGATACGCTTCCTCACAGTCTGAGGTTCGACGACAGCAGGTTCAGTCTTCAATTCAGCAGGGAGAACAGCTCGTAGTTGATGTAAATTTTCCAAATGATGTGTAATTGGTCAGAAGGCTTCTTTCAAAGTAACATCGCGCTCCATACGAGCATGCTTAGACAGGAAATACTTAGCACACACACTTGCATTTACATGCTCTAGATCTTACACAGCAGTCACCATTGTACTAAAACAGTGAGTGAGAGGTACTTAGTGTTTATAACATCATTTAGGTGCGACCATGTCTTGCTGGCCCAAGACAGTATCACATGTAGGTCTGAGTAGGTTAGAGAAATACACTTTACACATTCTGATATGACGAGATATGGTATCTCGAATATGTTTGCAATGAAGCCACAATTCGTCATCTGAATTCGTATTGGACAAGGCATTATAAATCCTAGCTATCAGACTTTCTTCCATAGCATCGAGACTGGCGATGAAAGCGGAGAGTTTGCTCGCCGCCTCGCTCAATGCATTAACTTGTTCGTCGAATTTAGCAGACAATGCAAACATCCAGACGAGATAGCCATCCATAGCTATGAGTTTCTTGTCTAAGGCAATGAGTTTGAAAACACACCCTGCCAATGCTTTCAGTTCACTCTCATTACTAGCAGCTATCGACAGAAGAATCTTTCCGGCAATGTGCTCTCCCACACCATTGAGTTTCGTCTCCAAAGTCGTGAGCCAACTCGACAGTGTACGAAGGGAAGCCTCAATCTTTGTGCTCGATGCTACCAATGAACACAAAGCCTCTGAAGTAATACTGCGTACAAAGGACACCGTAGATGCATCTCCATCTTCCTTTGGTCTGCCGAGGTTCTTGGCTCATTTCGTACTGAAGCTACAGTTGCTGTCGTCAGTAGATGTAATACAACCATCAGGCTCATCCTTCAGGCCACCGAACTTGAATACTGCATAGTTGATCGTTCACTAATGTACGATAGTAATATGATCAATTCTATGCCAATACCATCCCTTATAAAGTGGGAAATCCTTTGCACTCATGAAAAACCTGTGCGATGTACACCAAAAACATGAACACATTTTTAAAACTGTCAAAAGCCATATCGGTGTTCATATCGTCAAAGTATATGTGACATAAATTCAAGTCATCCATGCGGAAGAGAATGAAATATATAAGAATAATCATACTACGTCAACAAAATGTCAATATCAAGCAGCTGCTTCGAATAATTAGAATTTTCGTGTAGGAGTTGCTTAGTCATGCGTGAATAATTTGACATAGGTAAATTAAGTCGACAGCTACATGGCGTCTCATAATGAAATACTGTTGCATCATGAACTGCTTCTCGCATGTGACATCATCGAAGACAAACACAGAGTTAGGCTTGGCTTCACTTGGCGGCACAACTGCTTCATTGTCACAATATGGAAAATAGCATAGGTCATTCACTGCTTGTAGTATTCGTGCCAGGTGCAGGTATTTTGGCTTCTGTAGTGATTTCGAGTGTCGGTACATGTTTTGTACCTGATATTATTAGGCTCTTCCAGAAGGCTCAAAAGCACATATGTATTACCACAGTTGTTTGGTCCCACTATGATACCACGCACAGTCGTTGGCAGAAGCTTTTCATGGTGCGATTCGTGAGCGGTAGTTTCGTCATCGAGAGATATGTGAAGGAAACATGGTGGTCTACGGCATGATCTCCATTGTATTGATACATGAATGCGCAAACTGCAGGTACTTAAGGTCAATGTTCGAGGTCGGGTGGACAAGTTTGAGGTCAGGTGATGTAATCGGGCACACATGTATAAAGTAGACCTGACAGTCAAGTTGTATGCTAGTATGACGTAATGCATCGTGGTGGTAAGGGGGGGACAAGATTTGGTGAAAGCGTTAATCAACATTCTTCCTTTTGAGGCTCACATTCCAGGTTGTAAGTATTGCAGGCCAGGCAAGCACCTAGCACTAATATTGAGGCATGGTGACATTTCTATCAACTCGTTGTACGAGGCCTGCCGGGAGCACGGCATCGCCTACGCGACCAGTAATATGTTGGCAGATAGACATGTTGCCGACATCGTACTTACAGATAAAGCTAAAGTATTAATTATATTGTCCAAGTCCAAACTTGGCAAACGTGTAGCTGTCTGGTGTGTGTCCAAGATAATGAAAACTAAAGTCAAGCAGGGAATGGTTTGCAGTTTGGAAGGAATGTGGGGTAAATAAGTTGAAGTAATATATGTAACTTACCTGGGCAGTAAGAAGTTCTCTTTGTACTGTGTTTACAGTTGATATTACCATTGACTGAATCTTAGTAACTTTAATTGCTCAATTGTAGGTACTGCTTGTTTTTATTTTAACTCACATTGAAATTCGCACATTTGAGGACTCCCACACAAAATATCTCAAAACTCGGGATTGAACCACTGATCTTTAGATCTTCAGTCTAACACTCACCTAGCTGAGCTATTTCGGTTTCTACAGCTGTGTCGCTCACAGTTTCATATGTATTGTGTGATATGCAGTAAATGATGTAATATTTCCATGGCTTTGTGACTAATATAAAGTTGTAGGTCTGGCAAATTAACAAATAAATAATTTACCTTCCCTTACGAAAATACTTGATATTTTAAATACACAAGAGACTCTGTATATCGTTAATTATGTAATAGCACCACATTTATAAAAACATTTTAGTTAAGCAAAATAATAGTTTTTTCTCTACAAGAATCACAGCTTGCATGGTACCTCACTTATTAATCACGTTGAAGACCGAATTACTGTAAACGGTTAAGATATTCTCCACCAATAATCTCTTATAGATGTTGATGCATTTTATCGTTATGTCGTTAAGATCTCATTACATTATAGTGGTTATGTGCACTAAATAGGACATTGATTATTTTCTAAGTACAAGCTACATAAAACAACCAATATCGTAGATCGTTACTTATCTTATTAAAAGTTTTTACTGCTAAAAATTCTTCTTTCTAAGAACACTACCAACAGAAATCAAACAGGTTTAATTTTTACCTGATCTTCCTTTCAAAACTGCCTATACTTACCCCAAACAAACTTCCTGTATTTCTGTGTACACTTATTTTTATACACATTTTATTACAAAAAATTTATTATAGTTGTAAAAACATTAATATTTCAGACTTTGGTTATTTCCGACTGCTATTTTCACGTGATATTTGTGTTAAAGTATGGAACCAAATCGTCTAATTCCCTACCGTCAGTATGGCATTCGTTAGTAGTTAATATGTTTTAACGTATGAACTCTCGTGACATATGCCAGAGAAATGCTTGGAATACGGCCTCCAATTTGAAGTCGTAGAGATAATACGCATTATAGTTTTCGGTAACTATCTCTACGTCGCAACAATGAACTGCAGTTATCTTTTCATTAAAACCGTTACGAGTACATTGATTCGATTACGGCAAAGGAAAGTGTTGATATAAATAAGTGTTTTAATATGTTAGTATAATTTTGAGACTTAAATGTAATAAAATAACCATACATTCCAGTAACGCATAATATTAGGTATTTCTTTTAAAGCACGGGGTTGTTGTAAACCCCTAAGTATAACATAGGCACTTCGCTGTGAACCTGACAATTCATATGGCAACTAAAGAGACAATGTTGAAGACGAACGTCAGTGTATCTTGTATTTTGCCTGAGGCTTAACTAACCTAAATTTCATCTAGTAAACGATACACGTATACATTGATTACCGAGTTAGGGAATCCGGATTACCGAGGTCGGAGAAACTCAAGTCACCGATATTACCACTCATTTATGTAAGCCGACAATTTTCTTTCTCAGTGAATGTTTAGTGTGCCCTGGAAATCTTCAGAAAATAAACAGAAAATTCAGAAAATATTTTTTGGGGGCAACTAGATATATTTTTGGCCCTATACAAACAAGAATTTTGTTGGCTGGAACAAACTTTTATATATTTTTTTCAGTGTAGACTCTGGATGATGTTAAGCTGGTAGTAAATACTTCATAATGGCTGGGTCGAATCATATGCAGAACGTCCAGATGGAAAATGGCTTCCAGGGGGACACTCGCCAACAAGTAATGTTGAGTTAAGTTGAGAGGGATTTGTTCGGCGCTAAGCTCCGAGTCTCGAGAACCGGTGAGAGATGAGGCGGAATGCAAGAGCGTAGGAAATGGGAGTGCCCCGACCAAAACCCACCGGCCAACGTCAACAAATGTCAGGTTCCTACCTGCGAGAATCCGTGTGACGATCTCAGGGAATCGAACCCGGTTCGCCTTGGAGGGAAGTCTCACCACTCCACCGCCACAGTGAATCCATAAAGGAATGAGTCCAGTACATACAGTAATGTAAATGTTCACATGTCTCTTCTTACAGTTGAACATGAGTACTTAGTGTCCGTGTAACCAGCTGTTCCAAATCTTGATAAAGCAATCTGTTTACACATTTAACTTCAGAACCTGTGACGTCAACAATTAAAACGAGATTTTCTGGGGAACCTGAAGACCACGGTGGCTGAGTGGTTAGCCTGCTCGTCTTCCACCAGGATGAACCGGGTTCAATCCCGGCCGGGTCACCGGATTTTCGTACGTGGGAATCGAGCGTGGGACGTACGTGGGACGATGCCGTTGGTCGGCGGGTTTTCTCGGGAATCTCCCGTTTCCCCCGCCCTTTCACTTCGGCGCCTCTCTATACTCCCCTCAACTACTCTCATCGGCTCTCAAGAGCACGATGTTAAGAGACGCCCACTTCACTCACTTTATCCCGACCTAGTTTATTACGTAGCGCGAGGTGCATGGACATGAACCAGCTCACCGAGAGAGGTCTGCAAACTGATTATCGACCAATCAGCTCAAAGAAAGGATCTGCAGTGTTTCGCTGTTGAAATTGCGTGCCCTAGGTAAATACATCAGACTGAGCTAGCTGGGTATAACGGTACTGAACTACTGCTGCTGACTGATGACAGGGAATCCTAGCTGAATTCAACGACATTTCCTCCCATAACCACTCTTCTTCGTAAGACCAAAATTAGGTAAACTGCACCAATGGGGAGGAGAGTGAGACACATTCAGTCGCAGCACACATCGCTCTGATGCGCCAGTTGACCATATAACCTAACTCCAATCTGGCGCATTCGTAGGACATTAGTGTCCAACGCATCGTAGCGAGACATTGTTCTAGTAATACACACACGTGTTCTCGCCGAAACTGTATTCCCGCTTCTGCTTCACGGCGAGCTGACATCGCAGTTATGGTCGCACACCACATATAATGGAGTTTATCAAACTATGCATCTGGAACAAACTGTGCAAAACCTGCGTATTTAAAACTACACGGACTTTATTTCGCTGCAGCTACCACGATGATAATTCAGGTTGCCTTGAAAGTCACACATAAAGTTTCATTGTTAACTTGATCAGAGAGTTCTTACAAACATTCCCCTAACATAGTATCACGGAGTATACGCTGTTCATGGCAAACTGAGCACTTTAGAAGGACCGGCTTAAGGTCTACTTTTATGCACACTATGTATTATTATGCCATATGTGAAATTATCATTTTCATAGACCTCATCACTTTATTCATGGATCTATCAAATAAAAATGAGAAATTATTTGAAAGGTACATACTTAATAAATAACTTATATCAATCTCATACTTATACGTGTATTAAAAACAAAAAACTAAAGAATCTTTTCAGTTATCAGAAAGGTTTAACTAATACTTTTAATTCAGTGTTAAGACATGAACTACTTTCCCTCCGCAATTACTAAATTTACTGGGCACATGCCAGTAAGTGCGTGCCTGTTTAAATATCTGCAGGTAGAGTCAGTGACATTTTCCAAAGGTGGATTTCAAATAGTGCTCAGCTTACCATGAACAGTCTGTAGAAAAATACGCAGTGCGGCGGCTCCTTCGAAGTGGCCGTATCAATTTTCTGATTGGCTGCGCGAGAGTCAAGGAACGTGTGATTGGCTGCTGCAAGCTGCGAAAGAGTCCCTGTCGGCTAGACTGCCGGCGCACGAGTAAACTACCACAGGCGCAGGTCGGCGAAATAGTTCCCGACATCTTGCTGGCCAGCGACGCCGCCATTTTGCTGGTGCGTGCGCCTGGAGTTCGCTGTATAAGTGGCTACTTCGCCTCTGTATTCCTAACTGCTCTGTGATGCTATCTTGCGCCTCAATAACACACTATTTTACGGCGCCAAAAACGATGAACAGAAATAAATCTCTCAGGCCAGATATTTGCTCTAAAGTTGGCAAAATCCGTTTCTTGGCGTTCCTGTATTGACTTATAAAAACATTTTTACCTCACTTAACATGTTTAGCGTTAATTTATGCCCTGCACATTCTTCAAGTAATAAATTTATCCATTTTGCACCTTAATAGAAAATGTAATAAATCCAGAAAATCCCATTGAAAGCAAACGAAAACACTATGAAAATCAATAAATATAAGGCGGACGTCTTAAAATTAAACATACCTAGACGGGTTGACTTTAATTAACAAACTTGTCTGTTTATTTTCAAAAACATTATTCCTGTACATAATATTAAAACATACATAGTATAATTATTTTACAAATAGTTCTTCACTGTCACATGATATAAGGACCGTTCAGTCATTTTGTATGTTGAGAATTAATGTCAAAAATATGAACTCACATAGTCATATGTATACTTGAATCAAGGAACGCGAGTTATCTATGCAAGCGCTCTGCTAGCTGGGCTGTCCAGGTTTGCCTGACGAACCGGTTTTTAAACTGCGATTTAAATTGGCTGAGTCTGTTATTACCACATACTTGAAAAATGCGAAAATTGTTGGGGGGAAGTACACATAAATATAAGAAGAATGTACTAGTACGTTTGATTTTCCTCCGCAATCGGGTCAAGACTTTTCAATCACACGGTGAAAGACTGTGAATAAATAATAACCCCAAAAAAAAGGGGAATGAATTATGGGAAACTTTTAGTTCAAAATATAACTGGCTCCCATACTGACGGAGCAGTTATTGCACAAATTGCAGCCTCTTGGTGTGCAAACGACTGTGCAGCTCAGCCTACGTATTATTGAACTCTCAAAAAGTCCTGTCTCTAACTGTTATACACCCTGCAGCGTGACGTCACAAACACAAGTATATATCCCTATATGTAGAGCGCTGACATAAATATACGGATGTCGTGTTCCCAACTCCCGTCCATAAGTTCATATTTTACCCTCTATCTTTTGGTTTATGATAGATGTAGTCCTTCCACACACAAACACACACTAACACACACACACGATAAAATCTGGCGCATCTCAAATATCTATTTTATTGCTTTTTACATTTATTCGGAGTGCACGCGTGATACAATTCACTCGCTGTTTCCGTGAAGGGGAACAGAAGTCATAAAATTATATGAGTAACGCAAGTCGCATGGTTAAATATAAAAGTGTTTAAAAATGTTTATATTATATGAGTATATCCA